AAAATTCGAAAAAGCAGTCAAAAAGTGCGCGGTGTCCCCCCTTAAACAAGTAAGTTGCACCGGATAATTCTTTAACAAAAAATAAAACAATTAAAAACTGCTAAAATTGCTTAATAAAATAAATAAAACGAGATTAATGAGCAATCATTTATAAAAAATATTTAATTTTTTATCAAATTTATTCATAAGTTTCTATAAAAGTGTTTGGTTCATTTTCAATTCTATCAGGTAATAAATCATTTAAAGTTAACTCCTCATCAGGAACGCTGTAATAATCGTGATGCAAAACATTTTTATCTTCATCGCTAACAACAACACTTCCGCTATCTATATTTTCATTTTCTTGGTTAACTTTTTCAACATAAGGAAAATACCAGTGACTAGAGGTTCCAAAGATGGCACAATCATTAGCTAGTTCTTTCTGTAAATACAGATAACCTTCGACTCCCCAGGGTTTTAAATAATCTGGAAGTGATTCGTCAGAAGGTCCAGGAGGATTGTTTCCGTAGCTATTTTTGGTTTAATTTAAAAGTTATAGCAAAAATGTTCAAAAAAGTTTTTTAATTTTACCTGTTTTTAATAATCCAGTACTCTTCATCCCATCCTAAAAACAAAAATTATTTAATTTTTAGATAATTTGTTATAAGCAAAGTAGTCGTTGCAAAACCTAGTTTTTTATATTAACTGTTTTGTTAACAATATTTTTTTTTGCTTTGAGTTTTGTAAGTTTTGTCAAACAAACTTTAAAACATTTTGTTATTTGATTATGTGACTCTTAATTGCACTTTACCGTTTTAAACACAAATCACATACCTATAACGGTCACCATGTGAGTTGGACTTTCATTTGCATTACAGGGAATGTGCATTTTGTCTGTAATTTTAAAAAACTGCTGATTTTTTCCTTCATCACCCAAAAGATCTGTTCTCATGTTAACTGTCACGGGGCCGTATTTGGTGAGAATCGCCTTCAATAGCTGTTCATCAGAGTCCTTAATATCGCTCATGTACGCGTATTGGGTCAATTTTGCCTGAACTGGATTTGTTCCACAGCGTTCAGGAGTAAACTAAAATACAACAATTATTTAACTGCAAACAACGTAAAGATAAAAACCCTTTTTACCAGATAATCTTCAGTATCGGAATAAAAAAGAGCATGATCTCGTCCGTAAATACTGGGAATTAGGCCTACAGTATTTGCTTCATCTAAAAACTTATCTGGTGGACCGCCATTTGAGCAATCGATATGTGAGTTTTTTCTCGAAGGTGTGTACGTGTTGTGGGCAACCATGCAGTCAATTAAATCAATCTCACTAAACGAGACGCCCGTCTCGCCATTTTGAATCATATAGGCGCTTTCCATTGCCGCAACCAGTGAAAAGGCAAACTGTAGTGTAAAAACATTTTACAATAATTTTTTTAAATAAGGGCAATTGAGCTTACGCAAAATCCACATTCTCCCTGATTTTTTATCGGCGAAACATAGCTAAAATCACGATAATCATAACCGGAAGGATATTCTTCAGCAAGATCGTCATCGGTGATCACAAAATCAATTTGTAAATCTGAAGAACCACCTGATGAACCAAGAACCGCTGCCGCTCCTGTAGATCCAAGTGCAGTTTTTTCCTTTTCAGGAAACACTAACGGTTGCTGATAAATTGCAGATATCTTTTCAGGTGACATTAGGGAAAACTTGGTAAAAGAAAGTTTTGTTGATTTAAATGATGTACTATTGTCATGGACACATCGGTAAACGTTATTAACAATTGTTTTCAAATTGCTAAGAACGTTTTTAATTTGAGTAGCAACCGCATCATCAGAATGACCATGGCGATGAGTAAAGTTGTAGGAATGCTAAACAAAAAAAGGTTTATATACTTCTACAAAATAATTTATTTTACCAAAAAATTATGAATGAAAAATCCAAGCGGTTGTTCAAAAATAAGCTGTCGATCATTTTCCATAGTAGTTTCAATAAAACATTTTTTAAATTTAGGAATATTCAAAACTCGATCAAAATACTTTGACAAAATAGTTTCATTTGGGTTATGGTTTAGCCCATGCAATACGTTGTGAACAAAAGTATGACTGTGTTCAGTATTGAATAACCGAAAAAAAGAAAATAGATTGCAGTTTACATTTTGCAAACAGATAAAAATAGTGAGTAAAAACAAACAAAAGCTAAATTTAGACATTTTTGTTTTTGTTAAAAACAAAAAATATTTTCAATACACAATTATATCTTTTTATTTTTTAAAAAAATATCAAAAAAGTTTTATGTTTTTATGCATTATTAGCATAATTAACAAAACCAAAAACATCAAACTAATTTTATTAATTTATCAAAACTAATTAATCATTTTTGTTTAAGGGTTGCAAAATTAGTTTTTTGGTATAAAAAGGTTAAACGTCACATTATTTAATTTGTTTTCCAAAGTCATTCAAAGTCAAATTTATTTCAATAAAACAAAACAGTTGTTAATTAAAAAATTAAATTTTTTGTTTGATAATGTTGACAAAAAATTTAAACTGATTGTACTAAAATGTAATTTTTTTATGCTGCACATTTTTTACAATAAAAATTGAGCATTACATTGATGTTTCTTATTGTTGTTTTATTGGATCATTAAATAAAACTCTTTTAACTCAAACTGCTGTCTAGCTATGAGGACGACCAGCAGATGGTTGTTCAGGCTCACTGGGACAATCTGAAGCAGGACACTCAAGTGAAGGACATTCTGGAGCTGGTTCAGGGGCGGGACATTCGGGGACTGGTTCAGGTGCGGGGCATTCAGGGACTGGTTCAGGAGCAGGACACTCTGGAGCTGGTTCAGGAGCAGGACATTCGGGAACTGGCTCGGGAGCAGGGCATTCGGGAACTGGTTCAAGAGCAGGACACTCGGGGACTGGCNAACTGGCTCGGGAGCAGGGCATTCGGGAACTGGTTCAAGAGCAGGACACTCGGGGACTGGCTCAGGAGCAGGACAATCAGCAACTGGGCAATCTTGGGAGGGACATTCTGGAGCAGGGGTCTCCGGAGCAGGGCATTCAAGTGCGGGGCATTCGGGCACTGGTTCAGGTGCAGGACAATAACACGATGGCAAAGACACGGTCGAGGGCTCAAGCGGCTGAGTCCAATCAAAAGACGGTTGAGCAGGTACTTCAGTCCAAATAGCAGGCGGTAAAGTCACTTCCGGTGGCTGCGTCCAATCAGCAGAAGGTTCAACAGGTAGTTCAGTCACTTCCGGTGCTTCAGTCCATTCAGGGAACGGATCAACAGTCGGTTCAATCACTTCCGGTGGTTGCGTCCAATCAGCAGAAGGTTCAGCAGGTAGTTCAGTCACTTCTGGAGCTTCAGTCCATTCAGAAGATGATTCAACAGGTGGCTCAGTCATTTCTGGTGCTTGAGTCAATTCAAGAGATGATTCAACAGGTGGTAGAGTCACTTCCGGTGCTTCAGTCAATTCAGGAGAAGGTTCAGCAGGCGGTACAGTCACTTCTGGTGCTTGAGTCCATTCAGGCGATGGTTCAGCAGGCGGTTGAGTAATCACAACTTTTGAATTATCGTGGTAACCGGGTCGACCATGTCCATAAACTATAGCAATCATACAGATTGACAGCAGC